CATGCCCTTCACTCTATTTCTGACGATGGCAAAAGTCCACCACTGTACCCAGTGGGACCCATACTGAACTTGAAGAGTGACGATAACCATGAAGGTTCGGAAATCTTAAAGTGGCTTGATGATCAGCCTCCGTCGTCTGTAGTGTTCCTCTGCTTTGGGAGCATGGGAAGCTTTGGCGAGGACCAGGTGAGAGAGATAGCGTGCGCGCTGGAGCACAGTGGGCTTCGGTTCTTGTGGTCCCTACGCCAGGCCCCACCAAAGGGGATGGTTGCGTTCCCAAGTGATTATGCAGATCACAAGGGAGTCTTGCCGGAAGGGTTCCTCGACCGGACGGTTGGGATTGGCAAGGTTATAGGATGGGCTCCACAAGTGGCCATCTTAGCTCACCGGGCAATCGGAGGGTTCGTATCCCATTGCGGGTGGAATTCAACGCTGGAGAGTCTATGGCATGGTGTGCCGGTTGCCACATGGCCAATGTACGCGGAGCAACAACTAAATGCCTTTCAACTGGTGAGGGATTTGGGTTTGGCAGTGGAAATTAAGATGAGTTATAGGAGGGACGATCAAGTGGGGGTGAGTGCAGAGGAGATAGAGAGAGGAATAAAAGAGGTGATGGAGCATGATAGTGATCAAAGAAAGAGGGTGAAGGAGATGAGTGAGAAGTGCAAGAAAGCCTTGATGGACGGTGGATCCTCACACTCTTCATTGGGTCGTTTTATAGATCAGCTTTTCCTTTGACTCATTCGGGAGTCCAATTGGTAATTACTAGTTAATACGAGTTTATGAGTATTTTTGTACTAACTTGAAAGCAATGGAAGAGATGACTCTACTTTTTGTAGTGGTATTCTAATCTCTACTACGACTTCTGGGACTCCAAGCCAACAAGCAATTTGTTATTTATCATTTTCGTCATTATAGTTTTTGTTAGTTGCTGATTTATTAGTTGTCTTCTTTACTATTTATTCTTCGGTCAACTTTCTAGCTACTTAGAGACAAGAAATTATAGCGAACGAACAGATCTAATTCGATAAAAAATAATTTTAATTTGTAGACTAATGTTCTTAGTTTGAACTCCTATAATATGGTGGTAGTGTGTATGTACCACCATATGCTAAACTAATGTTCTTACTATTTATTCTTCGGTCAACTTTCTAAGCTTCATGGTTGGCGCTTCTTTTGTCTTTTTTCATTTTGCCTTTTTCCATTTAGATTAGACAGGAAGGCTTTCTACGATAGTCTTCTTGTTCCCCTAAAGCTCACAGCATCTTTCTTTCAGCTGCTATATGCCAAAACAATGGTCCGGTTTATAATGCAATATTCTAGTTTACTATGACTGGTCGGGGCCCACAAATCAATTTGCTCTTTGGCTGGGCTTCTTAGTAATTTTAGGCTTTGTTTGGTATTCATATGTGTATATATATCGTCTTCTTTTATTGAAGGTTTTTTCAAATAATTTTATTTGTGGGATTTTTTAGGGTCCCTACGACTTTTTTTTTTTTTTTTTTTTTTTTTTCTTTCAACCATCTAAACCATCTATTTTTTAAGTTTACATTCATAGATTATCCTTACAAAAAATTAGACGAATCAAAAACTGTTTCGACATCCAATTGTATCCGACAAAATTAATGAACATAGTACTTCAAGAAAATACTAAAATTTTAATAATTCAATACAGTGGTCAAATGATATAGGAATCAAGTGATTTTTTGTAGAGATGATCTTTGAATGATTATCTAAACAATATATAGTTTGGATTAGTAAAATATAATGTGGAGTGGGTGTTACAAGGGTGTTCCTCAAATAAAGGATCTCTCAATGGAAGTTATATATATATATATATATATATTGAATTTTTAGATTTCAATTTATGCCCAAAATTTCAAGTTTTCATATTTCAAGTTGGGCTTACAAGATTACAATGATGATGATGGAGGCTTTGAACAACAACAACGAGGCCATGGTGCCCTAGGCGGCAGAGAGAGTAGGCTGGGGAGGCGCGGATCTGTAGGCTTTAAGTCTAGGTCAAGACGGTAGATTTCTAAGGGTTGGTTCAAGGTATGCGATGAGAGAGAGAGAGAGAGAGAGACTATTTAAACATAGAAACACACCCAAAATCAACCCAAAGTCAACTTTTTTTGGTGTGTTTATAAATGGGTTTTGAGTGTGTGTAATGATGGTTTTTGGGTGTGTTTATATGTTTAAATAGTGCTTGGGGTTTTTTTATAATTTCAACCTCCATTTTGGGTGTTTTAGTGAAACTCCCTTTTTTTTTCCTTGTTTTAAAGTTTTAAATTTTAAAATTTTATAATTTATAATTTTTTTTTCACACATCAGCCCCAATTAAATATTCCTAATTGAATTTATATATATTTTTAGGTCAAAATCCCTAATTAAATTTAGGGAACTTTCATTTTAAGATATAATTTACTAATTTGGAAGATAAGAATACAATTTCACCTAATTAGCATAAGGCGAAAGACAAAAAAGTAATACATACTTTTACCAAAATAAAATCAAAGAACATTAAAATTACAACATATGCCATTATTATCAAATTTTAGTATTTAGTTTTAAACCAAAACTTACTGCGTCAAAACGACATCAAAAAACCCAAAACTTAATAAGAAACAACAGACACTCAAATTGAATCATAACCCCTTCGTGCGACCTTTCATCTTCAACTCCAAAAACTGCTTCAACAGTTCTACAAAATTCCCAAAATCTCATACGATTGTTCGCACCAACGGCGACGACCACCAACGATCGAAGCCGATTCTTCATTCTCTCTTTCGACAAATAACGGTAAGGAAATCAACGCTCTAATACCTACTCTTCATTCTTCATTTTGCAATGCAATTTAGGTTTTGGGTTTAGTTTTGGTTTCAAAACCTCTAAAAACTAAAAGATTACTAGAGAAAGAGAAAGAGAAAGAGCTTGAGAGAGGAACTCTTTTCTGCATTGCAGAAAACGAAAACTGCACGGTTTAGTCTGTAATTCTTTAGGGTTTAGACTTTCCTGATTTTCCATTTGGAAATGAGATGGAGCTAGCGAGAGAAATGCTTTTTGGCATCATTCGCAGTGAGAGAAGAAAGCATATATTTGTTTTCTACATTGAAGAAAACATAAACTGTAGTGAAGTTTATGTTTTGACAAAGGAGGGAGAATGATAGAGCAGAGGATCAAGAGCAGCAAGAGAGGTATGGGTAGAATGAAAAGAAGGGGTAGGTGGAAGGTATGGATAGTGAGTCGGAGAAGGTAGGTGGGGAAGGGATGAAGGAGAAGGGGTGGTATAGAGAGGTGGTGTGTGTTGGGTGAAATGATGAGTGGGATGGGTGCGAAAAACGAGCTGACATATAGAACGGTTGAGAGCCGGGGAGGCTGATGTGAGGAGTGGGGATGGCGGGTGGGAGAGGCCAAGATCGCTGTATGCAGTTGTGGCTGGGGGAAAGATAGAGCGGAATGAAGGGGAAGGTTGAGGTGTATGGGAAGTAGAGGCATAGTGAGGAGATGGGGCTGCTAGAAGGGAGAATGAAGGTGTTTGGGCCTAAAATTGATACGCCTAGACCAACAAAGGAGGCCCAGAATAAAACCACAAAACTCAAACAGTTTTGTCTTTGAAAAAAAAAGGGGGGAAACAGAAGCCCAAAATCCAGAAAGGGCTAGCCCAAGACCTATCAAAACAGACAAGCAAAACTTGGGCCTCAAAAGAAAAGTCACTTTTGGGCTCCAGACAAAAATAAACCCAGCACGATTTTGATAAAAGAAAAGACCCATTTCTTTTCAGAAAACCACGTGACACCCTTTTATCAGATTTGGAAAAGTCAACAAAACCAGCAATTACAGAGATGATTAGAGAGGGTCAGTAGCTGGCAAAACTGGGAAGGGACATCTCTGAAATTCTGAAAGATCAAATCCCCTTACATATGAATATATTTAGAGATATTTCTTCTATTCAGAAGGTGATTTTCCCAAAGAGATAAGCAAACACAATCTCAGAGAAAGATAAACAGGAAAACAGGGACCTGTTCAAAACTGAGAATTAGACTAACCATCACGGTTCTCACAGGGGGGGCAGTTGGAATTAAAGAGGGGTTAGGTTCTTTTTCAAGAAAAACAGGGAAATGATCTTAAGAACTGACTATTGAGAGCTTATCTACCAGAAATTGATCAAAACCCCCTTTCTTTACAATTAAAAATGAAAGATCTTTTTAAAGAAAATTGCCGCCCATTATTTAAAAGAATTACCCTACTCCAGATAACATCTCTTATAAATACAAGAAGGAGTGAACAGGGCAAAAAAAACAATAAATCCAACACTCAAGTCATCAATCAAACAAACAACTCAAAATCAACCAGAAGCTTACTTGAATTCCAAGTGAAAACCAGCTTTAGATCAGAATTCCCAAGGTTCAAACTTAGAAAATAAGTCATTCAAAACGAGATTTCTCTCGTTACAAATTTGGTTCAGCAAAAAACCAAGACAGGTAGAGCTTGAGCTTTCCCCAAACATGAAAACCTCAACAAATTTTACAGTACAGTCTCTAGCCCACTAAAGTCCTCGAGAACAGCCACTTCTGTCCTTACAGACTGAAAAAGCCACAGTTCTGCCCACTTAGAAGCCTCACAAAAGCTTGAAGTGTATTAAAGCTCTGCCAAAATTAACCTTTGGTATCGATCTACAGCTGAAGCTTAGCAGCTGAAGTTGTTAACAGTCCAGTCCAGCCCGGATCAGAACCTCCTATCCAGGCAGAAATGGAGTTCCAGCTGTCCTTTCATCTTTCTAGCTTGGATATTTATGTTTATAGTTTTGTAAAAGGCAGTTCTGCCTAAGACAACTTAAATTCCATCAACCATTCTGACCAGAACAACTCTTTATACTGAGATAAATTGTTAAAGTCCTCACCAGTCTGAGGCAAGAAAAGAACTTACTTGGGAGATATTCCTCACCCAAATTCACAATCGCTTGTTTATGGAAATCAATAACTTGGGGCGCAAGTTATCTATTCTAGAATAAGTCTGCTAGAATCTTCATTGCTAGCAGTGGCACGCTCATACACCAAAGAAAGCTGACTTGCTGACCAATCAATGGTTTTCAAGGCAGTGGGGAACTTTGCCCTTCTACCACAGGAGTGATCACAAAACGGGGTGAACAGAAGGAGGAAGGGAGGTTGTAGCAGGTTGGGTGGGTGGAACGGTAGAGGTGTAGGGCTGGATGTTGCGGAGTTCGTCGAGAATGAGGGACTGAAAAGTGGATAATTGGTTGGTGAGTTGAGTCTGGAAGGCGGAGTTAGAGGAGGAGAGAGAAGTGAGGGAGGTTTGGATGTTAGTCTGGTGGGCTTCGAGAGAAGAGACAGAGTCGACAACACCGTCAAGTTGGGATTGGAGGTGGTCATGGCGAACATCAAGGGAGGTGGCACTGAGGTCCTTATAAGAGATCGAGAGATGTAGGGTTTTGTCCATGCGGGCTCTGATACCAGTTGATAAGGTCTAGCTTTACAGAAAGACGGAAAATAGCAGAATAGTATAGGAAGACGTTAATGAAAGAGTAAGGAAATGAAGGAAAGTTTCAATTGTCATTCAGCTTATGCCAACAAACAGATCATTACATCTTTATAGTTAACCCTAGATGATTGGGGACAGGTGGCGACAATCCCAAGGTAGATCTGCTACTCATTGTTATTCTCAGTGGCCTCGTTTAGTTAATGGGAAATGAGACTTGGGAATGGGAAATCAATTACTTTCTCATGTTTGGTAAGTTTAGAAATGAGAAATCGTTGTCTGGCCTATAGGAAAGTAAGGGGAAAGTGAAGCCATCTTTCCAACTTGGGTTTTGTTTTCCCTTATCATGGGAAAGTTTGGGGAAATGAACCAACATTAAATACACATTTTTCATGACCATTTTGTCCCATTAACAATTTAGAATTACAATATATTATTAAATGTATTCTTTTTTTTATTTAATTTAATATGGGTATAATTAAAAATTTGTACAAACTTTGTTTTCCATTCCTACTCAAAACAAACATAGGAAAGGAAATAAAGTGTTATCTCCCGGTTACTTTCCCAGCATTACCAAACGTGGGAAATGAATCTTCCATTTCCCATCCCTTGGGAAATGACATGGGAAATTATTTCCCATCAAATTCATTCCGTGAACCAAACGAGGCCTTAGTGCTAAAGGAAAGACAGAGGACACTGGTCCCATAACCAAGTGGGCCTTCGGGATATTGGGCTTGCGGGTCTAAGAGGAGAGGCTGTACCATGGATGGTCCGGTTTGGCACAAGGGAGACAGCTAGCTATGGACAACTGTTATATTGGCTGCTTTCTAGCAAGTATATTGGCATGTCTTGTTAATTGATTTTAACTTCATCTTAGGTTTATGTTATCCAACACGACACTTGTATTTACAGATGGAACTCTACTGTTATGCTAATTTGGATTTTGGGCAGGTCAGCAGTTGTCCAAAGCAGGTTTTCTCAGATGGTGCTCGCGTCTGTCCATATGGCTTTTGGTAGTGTACTTGGGCACTGGGATCTGGGCCAGAGTAATGTAATAAGCTGCCATCTCGGAAAGGCATTATCCATATTATTCAGGTCAGTTAAAAAGCATGTTTTCTGTCTATAGTAGTGTTGTGCATGGTCATGACTCATATCCTTAGTTAAATGATTCTTTGATCTTTGATGGAATACCCTGCATGAGTAGTGGCTCTTTTCTTCCATTTGGCTTAGTATTGAGCGTGCCCTGTATTATATTGGTCGCTCTTCTTCCAAGAAGTCTTGAAAATGTTTTATGTTTTGTGCTCTATAGCACTTAGAACATCTCCAAAGAAGATGTTAAATGCCAAACATCAAATTTAAATTTGATGGCTGATATGACAACACAGTTTTACACTCCACCCGATATGTCAAATAAATAATTATTGTAACAGTAAAATCATTTAAGATAAAGAAGAAAAAAATAAAAAAAAGGAAAATAATAAATGAAAGTAACAGCCAGCTATCTTTTAAAAATATTAAAATATTCATTTGATATCTTTCTTTTGGGATGTCAAAAATAACATCTCAACCTCCAGCCTTCATTCCACATCAGATTTGACACATCGGTTGGAGTGATGTGAGATGTTATTTCTAGCCGTTAAATGTCTATGTGGCACTTTTGACACATCGGTTGGAGATGCTCTTAGAAGGCTATTATAACTGCTTAAATTATGAGACCCAGATATAGAACAGGCCATTTTACAGTTCTATTTCACCCTCAAATCAAACCAATTTGCATTTGCACTGGGAGGATAAATTGGTCAAAGAAGCTATTTTCCTTAAATTTGGGCCTTTCTGTTTTTTGTTTCTTTTTCTTAATGTTGGTTTAGAACAAAATAATAAACCACCAAAAAAATAATATTTCCTATTTTTAAGAATAATTTGCAGCATGACAAATTTTGCCATGAAGGCCACCAGAAATGTTTGTTCAGGAATTTGTTGGAGAAAGATGGATATGAGAGAATATGGAAGAGAGTTTTTAAATAGAAAACTAAAGCTTTACTGATTTCCCAAAATTCATTGCAACACTAGGCCATCTTATTGGCTATTTACAATAACATTCAGACCTTTTCATAACAGACATAACTCTTGGATTAGTTCCAAGAGTTGCAGACACAATTCTAGACTTCTAATGAGATACAACTCTTCCTAAACATAGCTCTTCTCAAGAGACACAACTATACTTAACAACTGATACATCTTACAAGGAGAAAATGCATTACATTTAACACTCCCTCTTAATGCATTTGTCCTGCCACATATAGCTTTTCTCTGAAATAGTAGAACTTCTCTCTTGGAAGTGCTTTTGTAAAAACATCTGCAATCTGCTCATCAGTACCACAGAATTTCAATTCAATCTCTCTATCTTCAACCAATTTTCTGATAAAATGATGACGAAGTTCTATGTGCTTTGACCTGCTATGAAAGACTGGGTTCTTTGTCATGGCAATTGTGGACATGTTATCACAGTACAAATTTGTTAGAGTGTTTTGTTCTTGACGAAGATCTGCTAATATTCTTCTAATCCAAATTGCTTCACATACTGTACTTGTGGCTAAAATATATTCTGCTTCGGCTATTGATAATGCCACTATACTTTGCTTCTTCGACGACCACGATATTACTTTACTTCCCAAGAAAAACACATGCCTAGATGTGCTTCTTCTATCATCAATTGCACCAGCCCAATCACTGTCTGTGAACCCAACTAAAATGCTTTCTTTCTCTTGTCACTACTACAAAAATCGAAATAGACGACGGGAAACCACCGTCGTGTAAAAGGTTTTCGCCCGGTCGTGAAATCGACTGCCGTCTATTTGGGTTTCAAACTACGACGGCTTTTCACCGTCGTTGTTTATCAGTAAAGATGACGGTTTTCAAAGAAAATCGTCGTTGTTTAGAGGTAAAGATCGTTAATTATAGGAGGAAAGACGACTGTTTTTAATAAAACCGTCGTATATTGTATGTAAAGATGACGATTTTTTTATGAAAACCGTCGTGGATTGTTTATAAAGACGTCATCTTTACATACAATAGACGACCTTTTTTTATAAAAAGCATCATCTTTACATACAATAGACGACGGTTTTTTATAAAAAGCGTCATCTTTACATACAATCGACGACGGTTTTTTATAAAAAGCGTCATCTTTACGTACAATAGACGACGGTTTTTTTATAAAAAGCGTCATCTTTACGTACAATAGACGACGTTTTTTTTATAAAAAGCGTCATCTTTATATATAATAGACGACCCTTTTTTTAAAAAAAAATTGTCATCTTTATATATAATAGACGACGGTTTTTATAAAAAGCGTCATCTTTACATATAATAGACGACGGTTTTTTTATAAAAAGCGTCATCTTTACATATAATAGACGACGGTTTTTTCGGTTTTTATAAAAAACGTCATCTTTACATACAATAGACGACGGTTTTTTTCGGTTTTTTATAAAAAGCGTCATCTTTACATACAATAGACGACGGTTTTTTTCGGTTTTTTATAAAAAGCTTCATCTTTACATATAATAGACGACGGTTTTATAAAATCGTCATCTTTACATATAATAGACGACGGTTTTTAAAAAAAATCGTCATCTTTACACATAATAGACGACGGTTTTTATAAAAAGCGTCATCTTTACGTACAATAGACGACGTTTTTTTTTATAAAAATTGTCATCTTTACGTACAATAGACGACGGTTTTTTTTTATAAAAAGCGTCATCTTTACGTATAATAGACGACGGTTTTATAAAAAGCGTCATCTTTACATACAATAGACGACGGTTTTTATAAAAAGCGTCCTCTTTACATACAATAGACGACGGTTTTTATAAAAAAGCGTCATCTTTACGTACAATAATGCTTTTTGATTTCCTATGATGCTATACAACGATTTTAACTAGAAAACCAACCATAATGCTTTATCAAAAATAGTTTCTTTCATAAAACTTGAAGATTCAATAGTTATTACATAGTTAACCAATCTTTATTCTACAACAAACATAATTCCTAACAAGACCTACGTACTCCTAATCCAAGCATTCCTCATCCAAACATACAAATGATGCACAACTGAAGTCTCCTCCATCATCCCTGTAAATAAATCAAAATGACAAAGAGAGAAAAAAAAAGAAGCTAAGATTATAAACATAAAAAATTAGGTGGAAGAGAAATTTTACCATTGGTCCATATTTCCATAGAAAACTTGTAAAATGAGCATAAAAAAGACCATCGAGAACCTGCAAATTTTCAACAACAAAAAAACATACGTCTCACATAGAAAACCTGCAAAAGAAAGAGTTATAAATCTGCAAGCTTCCTCCTCATCTCCTGATAACCAAATCAGAAAATCTAAAAAGAAACCAGAAATAAAAAATATGTAAACAAATCAGACAAATCAAGAAAGACAAAATCTGAAATTAGGGATACAAAGAACATACCAAAAACGCAAAGAGACTAATCCAGAATTCACTAGCAAGATATAGAAGGGTATTAAGAGATTAGGTGACTTTCAAATCAACCTTTCAACCAGCTTTGATTCTCAAATACAGAACATCCCTCTACATCTTATGGATTTGCTAAGACTCAATCTCAACTCCTTTGATGATCTTTTGATGATTTTGTAGAGAGTTTTATGAGGGTGTTTTAGAGAGTGCATGAGGGTTTCAAGGAGGGAGAGATAAGGTTTTCAGAGACGGGGGAAAATCTGAAAATTTGACAAGCGCGAATTCACTTAAGTAGACTTTTTTTAGCGTGTTTTAAAAGACGACGCTTGTTAATGAGAGATAAGATTTTCAAAGACGGGTGAAAATTTGAAAATTTATCGAGCGCGAATTCACTTAAGCGGCCATTTTTTAGCGCGTTTTAAAAGACGACGCTTTTTTTAAAAAAAAATTTGTCATCTTTACATATAATATACGACGGTTTTTTTATAAAAAGCGTCATCTTTACATATAATAGACGACGGTTTTTATAAAAAGCGTCATCTTTACATACAATAGACGACGGTTTTTTATAAAAAGCGTCATCTTTACGTACAATAGACGACGGTTTTTATAAAAAGCGTCATCTTTACGTACAATAGACGACGGTTTTTATAAAAAACGTCATCTTTACATACAATAGACGACGTTTTTTTCCACTACACTTCTTGACCCTATATGAATACAATGACTGAATTTGATCTTCAATTTAAAATATTTACACTAGTGGATACCACAAAATCTTATGTTATATTTAACGAAAGTATAAATAAACTCTTAATTGTTAGTGAATATTTTTTTTTATGGCATACGCATTTTAAGAAACTAGTTTCAACGATCCAACCGTCAAACATGTTTGTTTATACTTCGAGATCATATACGCCAAAAATCGGAAAAAAATAAACATTCAGAGATCAAGTAACGAGACAAAAAATTTCAACGGTTATAAATGAAAAATCATGATTTAACGGTTATTTTAACTCCGATTTTGATGATTTTTTACCGCTACACTCCTTGACCCAATATGAATACAATGATTGAATTTGATCTTCAATTTAAAATATTTACACTAGTGGATACCACAAAATCTTATGTCATATTTAATGAAAGTATAAATAAACTCTTCATTGTTAGTGAATATATTGTTTTGATGGCATACGCATTCTAAGAAACTAGTTTCAATGATCCAACCGTCAAACATGTTTGTTTATGCTTCGAGATCATATACGCCAAAAATCGGAAAAAATAAACATTCAGAGATCAAGTAACGAGACAAAAAATTTCAACGGTTATAAATGAAAAATCATGATTTAACGGTTATTTTAACTCCGATTTTGATGATTTTTTACCACTACAGTCCTTGACCCAATATGAATACAATGATTGAATTTGATCTTCAATTTAAAATATTTACACTAGTGGATACCACAAAATCTTATGTCATATTTAATGAAAGTATAAATAAACTCTTCATTGTTAGTGAATATATTGTTTTGATGGCATACGCATTCTAAGAAACTAGTTTCAATGATCCAACCGTCAAACATGTTTGTTTATACTTCGAGATCATATACGCCAAAAATCAGAAAAAATAAACATTCAGAGATAAAGTAACGGGACAAAAAATTTCGACGGTTATAAATGAAAAATCATGATTTAACGGTTATTTTAACTCCGATTTTGATGATTTTTTACCGCTACACTCCTTGACCCTATATGAATACAATGACTGAATTTGATCTTCAATTTAAAATATTTACACTAGTGGATACCACAAAATCTTATGTTATATTTAACGAAAGTATAAATAAACTCTTAATTGTTAGTGAATATATTGTTTTGATGGCATACGCATTCTAAGAAACTAGTTTCAACGATCCAACCGTCAAACTTGTTTGTTTATACTTCGAGATCATCTACACCAAAAATCGAAAAAAATAAACATTCAAAGATAAAGTAAGGGACAAAAAATTTCGACGGTTATAAATGAAAATCATGATTTAACGGTTATTATAACAAACCATCATCTTTACATATAATAGACGACCATTTTTTATAAAAAAACGTCATCTTTATATATAATAGACGACCCTTTTTAAAAAAAAATTGTCATCTTTATATATAATAGACGACGGTTTTTATAAAAAGCGTCATCTTTACATATAATAGACGACGGTTTTTTTATAAAAAGCGTCGTCTTTACATATAATAGACGACGGTTTTTTCGGTTTTTATAAAAAGCGTCATCTTTACATACAATAGACGACGGTTTTTTCGGTTTTTATAAAAAGCGTCATCTTTACATACAATAGACGACGGTTTTTTCGGTTTTTATAAAAAGCTTCATCTTTACATATAATAGACGACGGTTTTATAAAATCGTCATCTTTACATATAATAGACGACGGTTTTAAAAAAAATCGTCATCTTTACACATAATAGACGACGGTTTTTAAAAAAATCGTCATCTTTACATATAATAGACGACGGTTTGTAATAAAAATCGTCGTCTTTACATATAATAGACGACGGTTTTATAAAATCGTCGTCTTTACATATAATAGACGACGGTTTTAAAAAAATCGTCATCTTTACACATAATAGACGACGGTTTTTAAAAAAATCGTCATCTTTACATATATTAGACGACGGTTTGTAATAAAAATCGTCGTCTTTACATATAATAGACGACGGTTTTATAAAATTGTCGTCTTTACATATAATAGACGACGGTTTTATAAAATCGTCATCTTTACATATAATAGACGACGGTTTTTAAAAAAATCGTCATCTTTACATATAATAGACGACGGTTTAAATATAAGGTATGACGTATAAAGGGAATAAATACGACGTTAAATTTTATAATACGTCGTTAAATGAAAAACAAACGTGGTGAGATTTAAAGATACCGTCGTAGAACTATACAAGAAAGACGTCGATATATTTTATTTTCCGTCGTTGTACATTAATTTAATACGGCGATATTTTGTATTTTACCGCCGTGGATTTATTTGTAATTATATGGCGCCTTATACGAAAACTTGGTCGTGTTATTTTCTGCGTAAAAACGGCGGCTTTTTTTGAAATCGTCGTCTTTACTTTCTACGTCGGTCGATTCATAACTTCTGCCGTTCTTTATTTGCTTTGATTTTACACTGCGGAAATCCTGTTTCAAATAGACGTCGGTTTTTTAATTAGGTACGTCGTTGTTTATAAACAACCATTTGAATCTCCATTTTTTAGGTGTCTAAGGTGTTATTACACGGCGGTTTTATAGAACCGTCGTCTTTTAAAAAACAACGACGGTTTTCACTTAGACCGTCGTTTTTTTCTGGTCGTCTTTGTCACTTTTTGTAGTAGTGTGTGTATATTTGATGCCATATCCTTTGGTTCCTTGCACATATCTTAGTATTCTTTTAACAATAGCAAAATGATGATTACTTGGATCATTCATGAATCGATATACAACACTAACTGCATGAACTATGTCTGGCCTTGTATTAGATAAATAAATAAGTGAGCCAACAATACTTCTATACATAGAAGCATCATCTCTTGGTGCTCCATCATTACTTGAAAGCTTTAAATTAATTGCCATTGGAGTATTCATTGGCTTGTAGTTCAACATATTGAACCTTTTCAAGAGATTTTTGCATACTTTTCTTGATACATAAAAATCCCTTTTTCCGATTGTTGGACTTGAATTCCTAGAAAATACTTCATAGAACCCAAATCAGTCATCTCGTATTCTTTCATCATGTCCTTCTTGAATGCTTCTACCATCCTTGGTTTGGTACTTGTATAAATCAAGTCATCAACATAAAGACACACAATAAGAAAATCATGTGTACCTACTTTCTTGAGATAGAATTATGGCTCACTTGGACTTCTTACAAATCCACTATGACTGAAATATTGATCAATTTTGCTATTTTAGGCTCTTGCTGTATAGTGCTTTCCGAAGTTGACAAACTTTGTCTTCATTTCCCTTTTCAATATATCCTTGCGGCTGCTCCACGTAAACTTCTTCTTCAAGTTTTCCATTCAAAAAAGCGGACTTGACATCCAATTGAAAAACTTGAGTTTTCAATTGTGCTGCCAAAGCCAACACAATTCATATAGTTTCCATTCATACAACCAGAGCAAACGTTTCATTGAACTCTACTCCAAGTTGTTGAGAGTAGCCTTTGGCAACCAACCGAGCCTTATGCTTTTGGATTGAGCCATCTTCATTGTATTTTGTCTTGTAGATCCATTTAAGTCCAATGATGTCCTTTGATTTAGGCCGATCAACAAGTTCCCACGTAGAATTTTTCTTGATAACTCTAATTTCTTCTTCCATTGCGTCTTGCCAAATTTTTTCTTTCACTACTTCCTCAAATTTTTGAGCCTCCAAAGCACTCAAAGCAAGATCACACGACTCATATATGTCTGCCAATGAATGTGTTCTTATATTAAGTCTAGGAGTTGAATCTGGTGAACTAGGATAAGATGTTCTTGCACTCGGAATTGGACTTCTTGCCCTTGAAATTGGACTTTGGGGCAGCAGAGATTCTTATAAATTTGATGTTCCTAGTTCCTCGAAAAGTCTCGGTATTTCACCTTGTTTTTCTCATCTCCATACCTTGAATTCATAAAAAATAACATATCTAGAAATTACCAACTTATTAGTTCTTGGATCAATCAATCTGTATGCCTTGGACTTGTCACTATAGCCCACAAAAATATATTTTTCACCCTTTTCGTCAAACTTTTCTCTCTTTTGAGAAGGAACATGTGCATAGGCTATGCAACCAAAGTCCTTAAAGAAATCAACCTTTGGCTTAAACCTATGCCATGCTTCAAAAGGAGTCATATCCTTGACAGACTTGGTAGGTGACCTGTTGAGAATAAACACTGAGGTATGAATTGCTTCAGCCCAAAACACATTTGGCAGACCTTTCGCTTTTAACATGCTTCTTGCCATTTCCACAATGGTTCGATTTCTTCATTCCACAACACCGTTTTGCTGTGGAGTGTAGCTTGCCGTCAATTCTCTTTTTATTCCATTAGTTTTGCAAAATTCTGAAAATTCATTTGATGTGAACTCTCCAGCACGATTAGTTCTCAACGTCTTCATATTGTATCCACTTTGTTTCTCTCCATAGGCCTTAAATTGCTTGAAAAAAGAGAATGCTTCTAACTTTTGTTCTAGAAAATAAACCCACATCATCCTGCTATAGTCATCAACAAAGAGAAGAAAGTATTTCTTGCTATTAAAAGATGGTGTTCGAGTCGGCCCACATATATCTGCATGTACCAACTCAAGAGGGGCTCTTGCTTTCCATGTTGATTGTGAAAATGGTATGCGGTGGAATTTTCCAAAAATACAACCTTCACATATTTCTTTCTCAGAATGAATGGAAGGAAGGCCAAACACCATATCTTTCTAGTGTAAAAGTTGTAGACTTCTTTGATTTAGATGTCCATATCTCATATGCCACAATAGTGATTCTTCTACATTTTCAGCTTCCAAAACATAGTTTTCTTTTGATGTCATGATCAACGGAAAGACTTTTTTTGCCATCACTTTTATCTTAGCCACTACAATGTTGTTCTTTTTATTAGAAATAACGCAGTGATCATCATCAAATTTAACATAGAAGCATTTTTGTAGGAGTTGTCCTACACTTAATAAATTTTGTGCCAAGTTAGGAACATATAGCACATCATAGATTAGTTTTGGTGTACCTTCTCGAGTTTGAACAGAGATAATACCCTTGCCTTCCACGTTCTGAAGCTTTCCATCTCCGAGCTTGACTTGTGAATTCACATTTTCTTCAAATTTGACAAAACATTGTCTGTTTCCTGTCATGTGGTTACTGCATCCGCTATCCACGGACCATATATCTTGTGGTCCTTGACGAGCGCTGAGACATGTATAAAATAGTTGCTCTGGAGAGTCATTATTTTATGTGAAATTGGCTTAATTATTTTTCTGATATCTGCTATCTCTTTTAGAATGGTTGGGTATTCTGCATCGGGTACACCTATACCGACAATCTGCACTTTTGTGCCTAGTCTTTTTACAAACATGATATTCAGCGACAAGGTTACCATTCTGGTTGTTTTGATGGATGCGTCCTTGTTGATTGTTGTTGTTATAGTTGCCTTTGTTGTAATTCTTCCGCCAATGAGATTCTTCTTTACTTTTTCTGTTTTGGGACTTTTGAGATTCTCCTTTTTGTTTGTCTTCTTTCTCCTTCGAATCCAATTTGGATTGAAAGCTTGCTTCAAGGATTGGTCTGTAGACCTATTAATCCTTTTTTCATGTGCTTCCAAAGAACCAATTAGTTCATGGAGCAAAAGTGCAGCGAGATCTTTTGACTCCTCTATTGCTGCAACAACATGATCTAACTTTGGTGGTAGACTGCGTAGAGTTTTCTCCACAATTTTCTTGTTTGGAATTGTATCCCCATAACTTCTAATTTGGTTAACAATTCCAGAAACTTTTGTGAAGAAAACTTGAATGGACTCATTCTCCTTCATTAATAAATTATCAAACTCTCGCCACAGGATTGGAGTTTGATGGAGATCACTTTCTGTGAACCTTGGAACTCAATTTTGAGTATTTCCCAAGCATTTTTTGATGTAGTTGCAGAAAGTAATCTTGGAAAGAGATTTTTGCTTACTCCCTATTGAATTAGGAATAAAGCCTTGGCATTAAGTGCTTGCTTCGATTCCGGTGTCGCTTTTCCTGTCGAAGTTTTTTCCGGTTCCTCGTAACCATCTTCTACAAGATCCCAAAGATCTTGAGAGATGAACAAGGTCTTCATTTGTAGGCTCTAATATTCATAATTCTCTCCATCCAAAATAGACATTAAATTTTGAATATTTCCAATGGTTGAGGAATTTGAACTTGATGCCATGATTAACACAGCGGAGGGATCGATTGGCTCTGATATACCAAATTTGTTGGAGAAAGATGGATATGAGGGAATATGGAAGAGAGTTTTTAAACAGAAAACTGAAGCTTTATTGATTTCCCAAAATTCATTACAACACTAGGCCATCTTATTGGCTATTTATAATAACATTTAGACCTTTTCATAACAGACATAACTCTTGGATTAGTTCCAAGAGTTGCAGATACAACTCTAGACTTCTAATGAGATACAACTCTTCCTAAACATAGCTTTTCTAAAGAGATACAACTCTACTTAACAACTGATACATCTTACAAGGAGAAAATGCATTACGTTTAACATAATTCAGTAATGTGTTATGCATAATTTATGAGATGAGCACAGTATACATTTGTTACCTGGCATTCTTATACTTTAATGTTACATATATGGTTAAATGAAGTACAGATACGAATCATGTTCTTCGACTCCTAAAAAATATTAAATTGCTCGAATGGTTAGCCATGAATGGTAACTGTTCATTCATTTGGAGGTGAAAATGGTTATAATCCTGAAAATGAAAAATTGTAATTTGTGTCACAGGGCACCTGAGGAAACCATATTTGGCCGTGGGACTCTCCATCAAGAACTTAAACAGAGAACTCTGTTTTCCTTTGGCCGTTAAAGTGAGTTCTGGTGCTACAGCCGGGCATTTTCCTCTCTGCAGAAAACGGAGGAAGGCGTTTGACTAGGTATTCTTATTGACTTATTTACTTTGTATAACTTCACTATCTTCTACGCACTATGTTTAAATTTGTTGTGCTGTACGGAGATGATTCTTCACCTTTTTACTTAAAAGACCGTATGATTTTATGAAAATTCTATGGTATTGGACTTTACCGCTTTTATCCTTTTCCGTTTGAAGACGAAATCCAATTGCGTGCTTACTTTTATGTTAAATATAAGCATCGTTGTGTGGTAATCCAGGATTCATCAGGGCTCACAAACCAATGGTCGGAGGGCCCCCACATTTGTTCTTTAGTTTGGTCTCCAAGTCTTTCTGGAAACTACTTCCTCAACAAGATAACATGAAAGCTTTGAGACAATGAGACCGACTTTTCTACAGAATGCCAGCAAAGGCATGACATCACTTTCTTGGCTGGGCCAAGGAAAGTTACAAGAATTGAGCGGTCTATATGTAGAGGGTAATAGGCTCATCATATTTTTATACGGACATATTGTGTACCACATACTAATATAATAGGCCCATCTTTATTAGAGAGATAATGCACAATATGGTATAAAAATATGGTATTTTTCATATATAAAAGCTTATCGTCGTAATCCATCTTCACAAGTCACAAGTGAAAGCTTGATCTAGAACCATCTCTCTAATTTCTTTCTGAGTTGCTTCGTGTTGTCTCCAAAATGAAGAAAGCTGCAGAGCTAGTTTTCATTCCTGCCCCAGGTGTTGGCCATCTCGTGTCTGCAGTCGAGATTGCGAAGCTCTTGGTTGCTCGAGACGACCAACTTTTCATCACAGTGCTCATCATGAAGGTACCTTTTGACTCCATGCCCAAGGGTACTGTTGGTGCCTACACAGACTCCATGTCACAACGTATCAAGTTCGTCGATCTCCCGGAGGAAGCCATAGAGACTCGGGGAATCAACCCTAACCTCTTCATCAAGTTTTTCATTGAGAATCATAAGGCCCACGTTAAAGATGCTATCAGCAAACTCACTGAGTCAGATCAGTCCGATTCCAAGCCTAGGCTTGCTGGGTTTGTCATCGACATGTTCTGCACCTCTATGATAGACGTGGCCAATGAATTTGGGGTCCCTACGTACATCTTCTTCACGTCCAGCGCAGGGTTTCTTGGGCTCATGTTTCACCTCCAAACCCTTCATGATGAGCAGAACAAGGACTGCACTGAGTTTAAGGACTCGGACGCTGAGTTGGTTGTGCCGAGTTTTGTCAACCCATTGCCTGCTGGATCAGTCTTACCTGGTATGTTTCTGGACCAGCATGGCGCCGCTGAATTCATCAACCATGCCAGAAGGTTTAGAGAAACCAAGGGTATTTTGGTAAACACCTTCATGGAGCTAGAATCGCATGCCCTTCACTCTATTTCTGACGATGGCAAAACTCCACCACTGTACCCAGTGGGACCCACACTGAACTTGAAGAGTGACGATAACCATGAAGGTTCGGAAATCTTGAAGTGGCTTGATGATCAGCCTCCGTCGTGTGTAGTGTTCCTCTGCTTTGGGAGCATGGGAAGCTTTGGGGAGGACCAGGTGAAAGAGATAGCGTGCGCGCTGGAACACAGTGGGCTTCGGTTTTTGTGGTCCCTACGCCAGGCCCCACCAAAGGGGATGATTGCGTTACCAAGTGATTATGCAGATCACAAGGGAGTTTTGCCCGAAGGGTTCCTCAATCGGACGGTTGGGATTGGCAAGGTTATAGGATGGGCTCCACAAGTGGCCATCTTAGCTCACCGGGCAATCGGAGGGTTCGTATCCCATTGCGGGTGGAATTCAACGCTGGAGAGTCTATGGCATGGTGTGCCGGTTGCCACATGGCCAATGTTCGCGGAGCAACAACTAAATGCCTTTCAACTGGTGAGGGATTTGGGTTTGGCAGTGGAAATTAAGATGAGTTATAGGAGGGACGATCAAGTGGTGGTGAGTGCAGAGGAGATAGAGAGAGGAATAAAAGAGGTGATGGAGCATGATAGTGATCAAAGAAAGAGGGTGAAGGAGATGAGTGAGAAGTGCAAGAAAGCCTTGATGGACGGTGGATCCTCACACTCTTCATTGGGTCAGTTTTATAGATCAGCTTTTCCCTTGACTCATTCGGGAGTCCAATTGGTAATTACTAGTTAATCTGAGTTCATGAGTATTTTTGTATTAACTTGAAAGCAATGGAAGAGATGACGTTTTAGTCCACAGAGCTCGAGTTATTTATCATTTTCGTCTTTATAGTTTTTTTTAGTTGCTGATTTATTAGTTGTCTTCTTTACTATTTATTCTTCATTCTTCAGTCAATTTTCTAGCTACTTAAGGACAAGAAATTATAGCTAACGAACGGGTCTAATTCGGTAAAAAATTAATTTTGACTTGTAAACTAATGCTCTTAGTTTGAACTCCTATGATATGATATGGTGATAGTGTTTATGTACCACCATATACTAAAAAGCAAAAAATTATCGGCTAAGATTCATGGTTGGCCCTTCTCTTTATCATTTATCATTTTGCCTTTTTCCATTTAGACAGCAAGGCTTTCTACGATGACGTTTTGTCTTGTTGTTTCCATAAAGCTCACATCATCTTTCTTTCAGCTGCAATATGCCAAAACAATGGTCCTGTTTATAATGCAATATTCTAGTTTACTATGACTTGTCGGGGCCCACAAATCAATTTGCTCTTTGGCTGGGCTTCTTAGTAATTTTAGGCTTCGTTTGGTGTGTGTATATATATATATATATATATATAGAGAGCTTTCATTGAGGGATTCCTCAAATAAGCTTATTTGAGAGACACCCCTTGTAGGGCCCACTCTGGATTGTATTTCACTAATCCAAACCGTCTATTTTGTAGATACTCATTCAAAGATCATCTCTACAAAAAAATTACTTAAATCCGATATCATTTGACTATTCAATTGAGTTATTGAAAATTTAGTACTTTCTTGAAGCACCGTGTTCATTGATTTTGTAGGACACAATTGGATGTCGAAAATGTGTCCGATTTGTCTAATTTTTTGTAAGAATGATCTATGAATGAATACCTAAAAAGTAGATGGTTTGGATCATTAAAAAAACGATTGTAGGATACCCTAAAGGGCGTCCCTCAAATAAAATTATTTGAGGGATCCCTCAATAGAAGGGGACTGATATATATATATATATATAAATATAAAATAATGCTTATATGAAATTACTCAAAATAGAGATAACTGAAAATAACAACTTTATTTATACTCACAAGAGTTTCAGACAGCAACTGCTGAAGTCTTTTCGGATACAAGAACACTCAGTGTTTACAAAGAAGATTTCTCTAAATTGTTTAGGGAGAATCTTTAAAAAACTGAATTGTAAATTGTAAAACTGCTTACAATTGAGGCCTAGGCCAGCTTAAATAGATAGAAACAACTATTGTTAAGTAACTATAGTAACCAAAAAGCAACTATGGTTATTTCCACTGTAGAGGCACGGGAAAGAACCAATTCAACTTTCAATTTTGTCTTTTTCAGAAGGAATAACTTTTCTTTTATGCTTTTACTCAGGCAACTTTTGCTTTTACTCTGGATGAAGTGTCGGGGAATAATGACTGTAAAGGCACGAGAAAGCAGGTGGACTGCTTTAGGATGCTTTAATCATATTCTCCTGGGCAATTATTGTGTTTGCAACTATGAGCCTAATCAGAATTCAAATCATATGCGTCATAGGGGTCCTGGCTGTCTTCATACCAAAACCTAGGCTTAGCAGGGCTCTGCATGGGCTGGCAGCTGGACGACGAAGGAGAGTCATTTTCAATGTCCTCATCGTCATCCATTTGAGAGGCTTGAATTATCAACTAGCGAGCAATCTCTTGGAGTTCAGACTTCGATTTTCCTTCAACTAAAAGGGAAGATCGGGTTGA